AATTCGTTAAAAATATTCGATTCGATGAAAATATTCTATTTTGCCCACCTTCGCTATGACTATTCTATTCAATTAAAGAGTCCAGCACACTAACACAAATGTATTTCTGTAACGTTTCGTCCGACCAGAGTCAGACTTCCTCAGACAAGCAGTTTATAACATTGGCAGGAAATAAAATTTGGTAAATGAATTTGAAATATCAAATCAAGTATGACGTAACAATGCATAAACATTTCATTTGCATTTAGCCGTAGAAGTAATGATGGGAAAATTAGAACCACAAATATCAGTGGAGCTCATTTCAGATGTAATTAAAAAAAAAAGTTTTATTATTGCATTTACGAAAATGATGGGTAACTAAATGTAATTAAAATTATGGGCACTTAGAGAACCTCGAGGAAGTAAACCAACATTTAAACATAAATCGAGGCTTAGTTTGGTGAAGACCAATTTCAAAATTACAAAAAGGTTAAAAGTTATTGCTGAATTTTGATCCTAAATAGCGTTAAAATATAATAATAATCCATAATAATAAATGAATGAATTAACCATCTAGCATATTTCGAGTAGGACAAAAAATAAAAATTAAAAAACTATCGCAAGCACATAAATCCAAGGTTTCGAATTAAAATTAAACCTGGGACACTTGAAAATAATAGTAAAATAAAACGCCAATCAAGGGGCGAGTAATAATATAAACTTAAGAAAAAAGGTGATTGTTAAATTTAAATATTATATGACGTTGAAATGAAAATTATTATTAAATAATAATTCTTAGATGAGTCTACAGTCTATTTCTCCCGTGAATTGAGTCCTTGGGATTCCAATGTTCCGAATTTGTTGATGTAGTATTCTTCTACTGTTTGGCGATAGCCCTGGTTTGTTGAAGTGTTCTCCCACTACTAAATCATATTTCATTTTCGTAATACTTCTCAGATGTTCTGTTATACGATATTTTAACGACCTTCCGGTCTCGCCGATATACTGCATCCCACATTTCTTACAGTTTATTAGATAAATAACATTTTTTGATTTACAACTTATTCTTTCGTTACTGTTTATATGGACTCCCGTCACGTTCCCGGTACTTATTTTTGTTTCTTCGGAATATTTACAGGTGGTGCATGCTTTTCTATTACATTTATAAAAACCAGATTGTACTTTCTGTGATATTACTGGTTGTAGTTTAGCTCTAACCAGTCTATCGCGTAATGTAGGGCACTTTCTATATGCAATTTTCGGAGGTTGAGGGAAAATCTCTTTTAGTCGTGCATTGTTGTCAAGAATATATTGGTAGTCCGAAAATATTTTTCTAAAGTGCGGTTGGTTTGGGTGGTAGTTGGTAATAAATGGCAATAGTTGCTGACCTTGTTTTGTACTTTTCGGTGTTAAAAGGTAATCTCTGTTCATTTCTTTTACCAATTTTATTGTTTTGTCAATAGAAGTCTCTTCGTAATTTCGTTGCATGAGATAGCGTTTCATAATTCCTGCATGCTTGTCAAAAAATTCGACATTTGAGCACGATCTTCTTATTCTTATGAAGAGCCCCTTTGGAATGTTTGCAGTAATATGTTTGGGGTGGCATGAGGAGGGTAAAAGATTTTGGTGAGAGTCCGTGTCTTTAGTGTAAATTTCCGTTTCCAATTTGTTGTCCATGATATGGACTTTTACGTCTAAAAATGTAATGTTTTCCGTTGAGTATTCGAATGTGAACTTGATAGAAGGGTGTATTGAATTCGCATGGTTTATAAAAGATATAAGCTCGGTTTCGCCGTGTGTCCAGATCAGAAAACAGTCATCGATGTATCTATAGTAGTATTGTGGCTTAATCTTGGCTGTTTCTAGAATCTCAGACTCTAAGTCTGCCATAAATATGTTTGCATATTTGGGAGCCATCTTAGTTCTCATCGCTGTCCCATTGATTTGGAGATAATGCTTTCCATCAAATACAAAATTATTATTATCAAGAACCATATTAACTGCTTCTTTAATATATGGAATTTCCCGTTTTTCTGTGGTATATTTACTGAGATACTTCTCCACTGCTAAGATGCCATCTTTATGTAGAATATTTGTATACAAGGAAGTCACGTCCATGGTTACTAAATAAGATCCTGGCGGAATATTGTCAATTTTTTTCAGAATATTCAGAAAATCCATACTGTCTCTGACATATGATGGTATTACCTCTTTGCACATGAGGTTAGTTAACTTGTAATCTATGAAAGCTGATAATTTTTCCGTTGCAGTTCCGTTTGTTGATATGATTGGCCGACTGGGGTGATTTTTCTTATGCACTTTTGGTTGTAAACGTAAACGACCTGGTTTAGGTCTGGTTGTCCGCTTCAATTTTATCATCCGTTGTACCGCGCACTCTGACATAGAGCGTAGAATTATGACTGTACAGCGAAGTCTTCACATAAGGCTCAGCATCCCACAATTGTAATGGTTTTCCCATCAATTTGATAGTCATTAGATTTGGCAGGTGGGGAACTGATAAGCGTACTGGCTTTTCGGTACAAATGTTATTCATTGAGGAAAATCCGCGTTCTGCTTCAGCTGAACTGCTATTACGTTCATTACCCATTTCGCTTTCTTAATTGATTCCCACTCACTTGCATCGTCCACTTTTCTTGTGAGATAAGCCTCCACATAATCACGATACTGATTAATATCTATTTTCAGAACATCCTGTAATTAAAGTAACTTCTCCTCGCCTTCTTTAAATGTAAAAGTAAATTTTCAATGTTCCAGATATGTGGGTTCGGAGAGCTAAATAAATCAATGGTATTTTGAGTCGTCATATTGCCAAGCATCTTCCGTTCTTCCATTTTAGGTATTATACATTCTATCAATTCATTTCTGCATACCGGAAATCGTTCGTTTTCAGCAAGCCCAATCTCATAATACTGTGGTGCCTCGATGATTTTAGAAATCTTATTTTTATAATTACCCTTACAATTATTCAACTGCTTGTAAAATGAAATACTTCTTTTTATCGTCTTGTCGGCGTCGCAGATTGTGGTCAATCTTGATTTTAAGGCTTTAGATTAGAAAGTATTGAAATTTCCGCCAGAATGTCGATCACAAGTGCAAGGTCCTTCAAAAAGTTAAGATTCTTTGAACGAGTTGCCATGCCAGAATATTTGGTTACGGATTTAAAGTGAAAATGTAGCGCTGGATAAGCTTTCCAGATAGCACGACAAGCTCGCAGGCTGCAAGAAGTCCAGCGTGGTCCCAAAACGTTACTAATTTTAGTTATTTCAAGTTCGGCTGAAATATTGTGCAGCTCATATATATTGATTTTTGTTGGGACTGGTGATAAAAAGAGTAAATTTCATCTAAAAATATCTTGAAGTGGTTTATTCGTTTTGTTCCTGCAACAGCGTCGTCCAGGACAAGCTGAAGTCTGTGGTTTACGCAATGCCAAATTAATTATTATTTTGGGAAAAGTCGCTGCAGTCCAGAAGCTACACCGGATTTTCGTCCAGGCATGACACTTGCAGCATCGGAGCAAATAGAAACAAGATTGTTTCGCAAATAGTTTTCATCAAAGCCATAAAGCTTCATTGTATTAAGTAGGATAGTTTGTATACTTTCAGCGATTGTACTAACACATTCCACAATATCCAAAAATATGAAAGGTGAAAACACTTTTGCTATTTGCTATCTATCTCTCGAAAACCAGTGCAGCAGACGAAAAAAAACATGGCTAAAAAAATGTTTCCCCAATCACCAACTTACTTGATTTTCCGTAACAATGACATAACAATTGAAATTTCCTGGGGTCAAAGGTCTGGGAAACATCCATTACACGTTACGGCAGTGCTAATTATTTGTCGGTTGCAATGTAAAAATAATTATTACATAACAAAACGTACAGTTGATAACTAAGTTTGCCAGAGAAAGTAAACGTTTCATGACATAATCTCATTTTAACAGCAGGAACGCAAATGCAATAAAATCAAACAACCGGAACGGCGTTCCGACTACAGCTCACCTTTGCTCTCATCTTTTTTACCCTAATGTATCCACCAGATTTTTTTACAGTCATGTAGAATTCATTACCTCATTCCTGACCACATTGACTTGAGTAGCTTTATATTTCTAAGACAATAGTTATTTATTAAGGCATAACTAAATTGTTTATATTGTCAGTGCTTTTGGCAATGCACCATGCGCCCTTAACTTTGCGCAAAAATACCCTCCTTGACTACAAATTGAGTGTGAATAATTTTGCTTTAGCAATAATAAATATATCTGAAAATATCTTATAAATGCTTTTTTCCTATGACGGAAAATAGAAAAATCTCTATGTACCAAGACGGTGGTCCAAACTAGCTAAAATTAGGTCGCGAGACTTTTCATTTCGTAATGCATAAGAACCCGGTATCCACTTACTTTTATAAGCCGGAATTTATACGATGTTGTTTATGACAGAACAATGCGTTTTGAATATACCAATTTGTTACTATGACGATAGTCAGTAATGATTAGCAAATAGGTGCTGGAGCTATCTAATTTTAACTAAAACTACTTTGTATGGATATTTCCTAGAGCACCGATTTCCCTGTTTATGCCGTATCAATAGTAAATCACCAATAAATCAACAATGCCGTAACAATTGCAATTTTCTGCGGCGCCCGAACAGATATTCAAGCATGGTTATATATTGAATATTGCCTCGTTTTGATGGTTTGCGTGTTATTACTTATCGATTTTAATCGGTAAGTATGTTGATAGGTATTTGTCTGCCTGTTTGTCTGTTAGATGCACGCAACATCTCACGAAAGCGAGATTGAATCTGCTCCAGATTTTGCATGTGCATTCATCTTGTCTCGGACCAGAAGCCTATTGATTTTGGGCGAATAATGTCGTATGATTAGCGAGTTATTAATCAATTAGGTATGGGACACAAGGTGTCACTATGGAGTAAGAGCGCTGTTTTGGAGGATCCCCTAACTTTCGATCGATAAGTCTTTGGTCTCTGACCGATATTCTCGTTTGATAGTTTTCAGTTGTGTTTCCAAAAATAGTTGTAAATCAATTACAATAATAGTGATTGTGTCTTCTGAAGAGCTTTAGTTTAGTTGCAATATTCAAAAATTGATACTGCAAGGGCTGCGATAAAATTATCTTCAAGCGGCACTTGGTTTAATGTTTTGAATGGAAAGGATAGTTTTGAACATGTGAGCCGATTTGTAAGAGCCAACTCTCCAAAACACTCAAACTAAGCGTTGAAAATGTTTCAATGGTAAAGTATAGAGAGAATTCCGGGGGTCAAGGGTCGGGGAAACGTCCATTTGTTTTGGCATACCAACGAGGCTATTAAAATTTCAGACAAAAATAAACTAAGTAACCAGACGACATGGCATTTAAGCCAATTAGATTAACTGTTTCAACACACAGTGAGCTGGCTATTTTCTTGCCATAAAATGACGACTTTATTTCCAAATTCTTTTGGAAATAATTTTTTGTTTAAGTATATACACATCACTAGTCCGCAACAGATTCTGCACTTTCTTCCTCTTTCTTTGCAACAGTATTGTGATACTTCTGTAATTTTTTCAAATCTCTTTCGAGTCTCAATCTCCTTCGCTCTTGCTTTGTTCTATCTTGTGGTGTAACATCTTCCTTCTTGAGAGTGGGAACCTTTTTCTTAGGCTCTTTCTTTTCCTCTATTTCACCGCGTGGCGTTCTCGTTTTCTCTTTCTTCGTTTTCTGTCGCCCCTCTTTTTTCTTTCGTCGTCTTGAACTAGGTGATCTCTTTTGTTGTTTTTCCTCTTTTCTGTGCTTTTTGTCTCGACTTCGATCAATTTTCTGTTGCTCAGTGGCCCAATGTTTTGTTCTTTTCTGTTTTCTACGCATCATATCTTTATCAGGTATCTGCCTCTCATTTTGTTCAGGGTCTTTTCCACCATCATCAATATTTTTATGTACGCGATCAGTATTTTGCGGCCGATGTGTCTTTTCCTGTGGTGATTTTCTCTCTTTTACGGGCCGACTTAATTCTGGTAAATCTGGCACTGGATATTCACGAGTTAATTTCGTTATCGAGTCTAATATATCTTCCAAACTCTTTGCAGCATGCATTAATGACTGTGTGCTTGAAACATGTTTTTCCGTTGATCTTGTAGGCCGTTTCTTGGTGCTATTTTTAGACTTTTTAGTGGAACGGTCTTCAGTCCTCTCTCGCGTACGTCGTTTACGCTGCTGTGGCGCTTCCGAATCGTCTTTTTTGTCACGATGTCGTCTTGATGGTGGACCTTCGTTTCGTAATTTATCAGAATTCTTCTTCGTTGGCTTCTTTTTTTTCGAGCGCCTTTTAGGTCTATTTTCAGGGGCAATGATACCGGGGGCTGGTTTAGGAGCCATGTGTTCTGGCTTAGGTGGTCTATGAGGGGGCTGTAACGGTACAGCTGTTGGTAAATTTGTCATATTGTTAGATTTTATGATAGCCTCGTTACCAATGTCAAGACCAATATCAGATTGTGAACGAATAGAGGCTGGTACGTCCGACATGGGTGGAGGATGGTTTGAGTCGTCCATCACAGGTTCAGGAAAATCAAATGACGGTGACTGGTTAGGTTGTGACACTGACTCCATATGTGACCCAGATAACGCAGTGATTCGAACATTGCTCATCGGATCAGGAATGAAAATAACAGTAGCATTTTCAGAAGTGGAAACTATCTGTTCGGTTGTTTTACTTTCGTGGCTTCGATGATGATCAATATCAGCTGCATGAACGCTGGCCGCAGGAGGGGTGTGAATTGAAGACACGGAGGACTTACGTGCACTTTGCGAACTGACGCCTTAAAACAAAACATATATATGAGTAATCGCTGAATAAGTCAAATTGTAACGTAACGAGTCGTTCTCGTGCAACAGATTCATCGCAACGTAGTTTTTGATTATTTATATATAACAACAAAACATGAGAAAATTTGAAAGCAGATATGTTACGAATTGCCTAATGTAATTTGAAAACATGTACAAAAGTGGAATTTATTAAATCTTAAATCAATCATTAAAGAATACCCATTATGAAATTTTGAAAATTACATTGACAGTTTAAACTCCATAGTATCTGTTCTGTATCGCACACTGAATCTGATTGCAACTCTAACTTATTGCTCACTGAACTGAACAGGGGTAAAATGCGCCGATTGCACAATATAATAACTATATATATACAGCATATATATATATATATATGCTCTATTACTTCGGAGACTAGGTTGTTCAAAATAGAATTAGTTCGACGTGAAAAACCAATTATCCCTCTTCGAGCCAAAAATGAGTATACTAATATTAACATTTGATTCACGCAATGAAATAAGTTTCCATAGAAAAGTCAAGCAATCAACTAATCTAAAAAAAATACCTGACGAGGAAAACGATGATGACTCGTGTCCTTTCTCTACATCAATGTAATTGTCTTCTTTTTCGGAGACCGTTTTCTTTCTTCCAATTCCAATTCCACGTCCAATTCTATCGAAAGTAAATGTCGGAGATCTTTTCCTAAAGAATTCTTGTAATCTAAAAATGAAACAAATTTAATGTGATATATACCATGAAAGTAGATTATATTATCATTCAAATATGAGAAAATGAGTAAATTTTCCGATTTTGTTAGAAGTGTAACTCATCATATCAACACTACACATTGAGATCAATAAAATATCAGCCGCTGAAGGCGCTAAGACATGGATATGATATCATGACTGTTAGTAACTGAACCCAACTTACTTTCTCTTTTTACACCATTTTGACAAGTAAATCTGACAGAAGAATCCCGGTATAATGAAGAGGAATATGATCAGCAACAGAATTATCAGAATCCAGTACCAATGTTTTGCCCAAAATTTGGCAGGTTGCGGAAAGTAGGATTCATTCCACGGCACACCCGCAACCACGGGTGCTTCAGTTTGATAATCTAAAAAAAGCATAGCAAAGATATGACTTTGAATTTATTTTACGCTATATGTTTGAATACACAAAACTTGAACCTACCATCTTTGATGATACCATCAATAAATTCCCCACCGATAGCGATGCCACCGTTTGCTTCATCGGTTGTAAACAAACTCTCCCAAATCTCAGGGTGGTCCGTTTTTGCTGAAAATTTGGGCTTTTTCGTAGGACTTGATGTTTTCTTTTTTGTCTTGGGCGATGCAGTGCTCGATTTGATAATGAATTTGATGCCGGTGTTTTTAAATTCATATACAGAATCACCATTTTCAGTCCTCTTTGGAGTTGTTTTCGGGCGTTTCGGCAATGTTGTCTTTCGAGCGGGTACGTTTGTTGTCGATCGAGTCGTTTTAGGTGTTGGCACAGTTCGCCTTCTTGTCGAAGACGTTGTGGTTGCCACGGGAGTGGTAACTTTCTCCTTGCCAGGTTCCTCTGTCGTCTCGAAGACTGTCATGAACGCGAAATCGGTGGTTTGTTCCTCGTTATCGATCTCGGTAGTAGCCTTGGTCACGGCTGTTGTTGTCGTAGTTGAAGGAATAGAAACTTCTCTGGTTGTTGGATTATTCAGCAGAACAAAATTGAAACCAGGTTTTTTTGGCTTGTTATTGGTAGACACCGCGCTCGTTTCTCCAGCAGTTGTTGTATTGAACAGTACCTTTATAGTTGTGGAAGGAGCAGTGGTAGTTTGGTACTCTTCATCTTCTGGTTCAAATGTTGATGCCAAAACTGTGATGAAATCGTAGACATAATCAGTCGTTCCGTTATTTCCACTTGTCGTTGTCTGGGTGGAATTTGTGCTCATTTTTGTACCGGAAGGGGTTGTAACAGGTAGAGTTCTTGTTGATTGCACTTCTACCACATCTTCCGTTGGTGACTCATTTGTAGTCTCAAATACCGTGAAAAAGTCGTATTCTGTAGTGGCATCGTCCTTTGACATCACTGGAGTCGTTGTCGGATATTTTTGAGTTTCTGCAGCTGGCGTTGTTGGTGTTGGAAGCATCATAAACTTGAATGCATTCTGTATTTTTTCAGCCATGCTCAGTTTCTCAGTTGTCACAACTAACGGTGAAGTTTTGCCAGCATTGTCGCTCAGCGTTGACTGGGATATTACTATAGACTGAAACGACGCCAGAAGTAGAAAGGGTACCAAGCTTGTGTACTGCATAGTGCTTCCTCTAAATTATTATTTCCACAGACTCCAATCAATTTCACTCACATGAAGACCACATCAGCACTATCTAATTCCAGCATAATGTAAACTGTAGACTGGATATAACATGTAAAATTTATATTAAGCAAATAAGCTTTAAAGACTATACGTACACATGATACGGCAACAGAATTTATGCTTGCTCTAGCTGGAGTCTAGAACGTTAATATTTCAACCACGTGAATCAGAAATTCATACTTTCTTAGTTTGTGTTGCGATGTTTTAAACTTCTAAGTTTCATCTGTTGCTGTTGCATTGTTGCTACACAAGTTCTCAAAGTTTCCAAAAGCTCACAAGACCAGCTTCATAAACATGTTATCGGGGGAGTTCAATCAATATACAGATTCTTTAACGACACCCATAGGCATGGGTTTCACACGCGACTCCTCACAATAACTTTACAGTATGCAATAAACAAGTAATTACCTGACCATAACGTGATTTTTATATTGGTAATGCCGTCGCAAACAATTACGCAATAACAAACGAGTCATGAATCTCAACCCCTCGATTCGGTCACAGATTTCATCCGTAGGCATTTGCATGAAAACTATCAAGTAGGCCTCTGTAATGTTGACCTCGTCGTAAATTGATACAAATTTAAATTTAGTTTATTCAGAAACAGCGATCTTAAATATCTTGTTGACATTCAGTAGAACTGGCCTGACAAGTCTGTCTGCGGCCGGCATTCAGATGTGTCACCAACGACGAGGACTATAAAATTCTTACAGATTTTTTACTATATATTGTATATATATGTATAAAAAACATTTCTTACCTGACTTTTTTGATATTACACAACCTTAATTGAATCACGGACAAAGTTACCATTCTATAATATTCCATAAACCTGATCTTTCTAGATGCAACGACACCTACCTGCCTATACGGCAAACATATGACGAATTTGATTAAAAGCCCCCAGGCCATATAAACCAGTCTCACACAAGCAGCTACTTCGAAAGCGATTATAAGTAACTACCTTAGCAGTTGGTAGTTACTCGATTTCATCTACAGGGCATACAATAACTTGTGGCTCATTTAACCATATATATATATTATAAATACGTAACTCAACAATTCGTAAGTTTGATGAACCCAATTTTTGGCAGGCATTATTTTTGCGTGCAATTTGTTAGCACAAAATTTATGTTTATAAGCGGGTATTTTGACGGCTCTTGCAACATTGTTTCAACAGTGATTCGTACTATACTTAGTATAAATATAAAATTAGACTACATCAAAGTATCCCATAAGTTATGTATCCCAACGTCGTTTCAATGCGTTAAAAAATTCATGGGTGTTTATATTTCATATGAAAAAAACCGACAAACCAAACAAAAGTAGACATTTAATACTTGCAAAAACAAATTTAAGGTATGTATTGTATGATACTGGGCTTTTTTCCGGTTATGATTATGCTTTCTGTATTGGGACTGTTATCTGGGCTTTTTTCCGGTTATGATTATGCTTTCTGTATTGGGACTGTCCTGATGTGATAATTTGAGATTGTCTTCAATTTTTTTTCAAGATTGATCAACTGTTATTGGATTCATGGTTATATTATTTTCTGAACTGTTGTTATTTTCTTCATTCTCAATCCTTGGCCGCTTCATAGATGGGGTAATAAGGAATTTACGGATAGCACCTCTTTGTTTTTCAGCTTCCTTTGCCTTCGCCAATGATCTTTTCTGGTTACTACTTGAATACCTGCGCTCTTTTTATATCATATTTATTCTTTTGTAGAAAACAGTACAAAAATATTAATCAAAATTTCTGAAATAAAGCAGAACAGAAGTATTTAATTGCTAATGGTGACAAAGCGATAATTTACTAAATTTCCCATGCATAACAAATTAATACCATGAGAAATATTATTGCACTTTTTTTACGTATTCAGTAGTATTTTGTACTTCATAACACTGAAAGAGACCCACACTACGCTGGGCCCCTTTCAAGTTGCGGGGCCCAATTTGATGAAATCGGCTCGAAACCGGACCTGCCCTTTGCACAAGCATGTTTTATCGTAGTCACCCTCATTTTGCCTATGTTGGTAAATTGACATGTGCAGGTATAAATATGAGTTTTGAGAAGGCTCCCAATTATCAGTTCCCGACTTAAACTACATACCCGAACCAAAATGTTCTTATTGGTGTATTTTAGTTGTAAAAGTTCGTCCTTTTTATAATTCATATATATGCATGGTGAATATTCAGTTAAGAATATATTTATAATAAATTAGGACAGTTTATCTTTCTACTTTTCTTCAAATTTCCAATCCATTTATGATCTGTTAGTCTCGGATATTTTTTCAAAAATTGTTTTTTATTTTTCTATAAGTTATTGCACTTCAGTTTCTTACGTGCAAGGCTCAACAAGCGCTCAAAAGCAACTGAATTTTTCTTCGACAATAATTCGTTCCCTGGTGGTAGGGTGCTTGGAAGTCGCGATGCCTCTCTTGTAACAGCATCGTTGAAAATGTCTGCCAATCACCACAATTTTGCACGCTAGTCGGCTGGCCAAAATTGTTCAATTCTTTCCACTCGGCCTTCATTGGCCAAAATGAATAAACGACATTGAAAGATAATTAAAATATACTTTGGTGGGTATATAATTGAAACACATAGGACACAGAGTAATTAAAAGGGTTAAGTAAATGTTGTGATTTACAAAAACATATAAAATCAGATATATACTGTTCATTAATTGACATAACAGAAACAGATGGAATCTTGTAGTATCACTTCATTCGGCTATAGCCACTCTCATTTCCAATGAGTAAATGTAGGCCCTTCGTGAAAATTATGCAGCCATAACATTCCTACTACGATTTACGAACTTTCATATGACTTGAAACCCTTTCAATGCCCAAGAAATTATATCTTTGAAGTCCTTCTTTTTTAAATTTGACCATGACAGATTCAAACCCCAATAAAAACCTCCAATTCTAGTTTAATCACCTTCACTAATAATTCATTTGAAAGAATGGCTAGAGCACTTTCAATGTCTTAAAATATTTCAGACAGAAATTGCATAATTTGTTTCAAAATTACGATTTTACAAAAATATACTTTACTCGAAAAAAAGGGTTGAAAAATGGAAAATAGAAAAAATTAATTGTAGTTTTTATAGTTACAGTAATATAGGCATAAACTATCAATGTACAAAGACACATGTTCAATGAAAGAGCCGCAGTTTTTCTTTTACCCCATTGAAACAACTTGAACAATTTCAGCCAATTTTTTAACAGTGTTTGAAGGTACTTGAACGGTTTGACCCATACATAATAATATATTCAATGTTACATACCAGCCCAGGATATGTACATGTTAAATCACAAAAACCAACATATAAAATGAATATTTCCAAAAATAAACAATCCAGCACCCAATTTCTTACCAACTCTCTTTTCATTCATTAAATATTATTAATTTGACATCCGCCGACTTTCTTTACGGCGGAGTTGTAAGTGTGGTGTATTTTACGGTTAGTATTTTTAAAATATTGAATATGTATGGTATGCTATTATCAGCGCCGAACAAAATTTGTGCGATGCTATTTTTTCTCAAAACAACCCTTCATAACCTTCAACTATTTACACCTAAAATCAAGGCTGACCATATTGAAGTCATGAACTTATTAGGTTTCCCGCTGCTTGTCAGCAGGGAACCTATTGTATTCCTGTGTTTTATTATTATTATTTATTATTATTATTATTTATTTTTATTATTTTTTTTCAAATTGGTCCTACAAACTTGAAATTCACCTCAAATGTGCAGAAGTTCTCAGCTAGCAATAAAATGCAAATTTTATGCATGACTGACCACGCTTTCACGCTCCAGTGAGCAAAACGCGTTTTCAGTTTTTTTGCGATTTCTCAAAATTGATACATGGTATTGGGTTGAAATTCATAACAATGATTAATGGACATGTTTCAGATACAATATGTTAAGGATACGCATGAGTGACCTCGGAGATACGCTCCAGTGAGCAATATAGGATTTTACATTTTCATCTTCTTCTCGAGAACGACACTACTTAGAGACTTGAAATTTACATCACATGCAGATAATAAGTCCCCCATCATAAATTGCAAATTTTATGCATGAATGACCACGTTTTCACGCTCCAGTGAGCAAAACGCGTCTTCAGTTTTTTTGCGATTTCTCAAAATTGATACATGCTATTGGGTTGAAATTCATAACAATGATTAATGGACATGTTCCGGATACGATATGTCAAGGATACGCATGAGTGACCTTGGCGATACGCTCCAGTGAGCAATATAGGATTTTACATTTTCATCTTCTCCTCGAGAACGACACTACTTAGAGACTTGAAATTTACATCACATGCAGATAATAAGTCCCCCATCATAAATTGCAAATTTTATGCATGACTGACTTCGCTTTCACGCTCCAGTGAGCAAAACGCGTCTTCAGTTTTTTTTACGCGGGAAGCCTGTTAAAGCTGCACGCAGCTCTAGTTATTGTTGATATCGAGTATCTGCCTCTCGCTACCTTTACAGGCTAAAATAATATGATACCTGAACACGTAGGCGGAAACAACTTCAATTGTCTTGGTTTGACAAGACTATAACGATTTCCAGAATATATATATATTCTTTGTAACTCATTTACGTCTCATTATACTAACTGCGAATACAGGGCTTTGTCGTTATTATGCAAATAGAAGTCCTGCACAAGTAAAGCTCAAAACTACACCACGAACAACAGAAGCTCACAAGATTTGTTTCAGAAGTTTCTTATAGATGCAAACATTGAATAAATATCTGTGACCCACTCTCTTTCGTTCCGCGATAAAAATATAATTTTTTGACCCATTCATTGAAAAAGGTTCGTCATCCCTGGTCTATCTATATATAATACACACGACATCTCAGCAATGAATGATTTATTTGGAAAATGTTTCATATGACAACAAGTGGAAGTTTGGTTGTGGCACAACGTTAGTACCACGACACAAAAGTCTAAAAAATCGTGGAAGTATTCATTTATTAAAATTTTAATGGGCGAAATATCCAATTCGAAAGCTATAGCTGGAAAATGGACACAGAAAGATAAACCACAAATATAGCGCGTCGATTATATTGATGTGTTACATTCAGATCGTGTTTTAATGTAGAAAAATGAAACAAGTAAAGCGATATGTAAATAATAGCACAAGGAAAATTTGGGAATAAGAATGATAATATAGACCCAATCGTCCAAAACCTACTATTACGTTCTCGGCCCGGCACTCGTTCTTGTCATGATACCAATAATACCAAGAAGACATTAGATAAATGTCATAGTCTCAGTGTCCAGAACCATGCAATTTTGAAAAATTATATAAAGTAATATGCACATATTTACAGAAAAAATGAATGGGCGTTTTGGTGTAGTGCCCTGGCTCATGAAAATTTAAGGTGTAAATCGTCAAATTTTAACACGATAGAATTCCTTGCGTACAGCTGTCACGTTTTTGTTATCCAATATTTTTTTCCTATTTGAAGCCGAAAATGTTTCCAATATCTGTAAGCATACCTTCATTTATAAGATGCAATGCCCAAAGCTTACTCAAAAAGCATACCAAAAAAACATAACACTTTAAAAAGAAAATTGAAAGAAAGTAAATAAAGAAAGGCAGATAGATATAAGGATAAACAGAGAACGGTGTAAAGACAAGAAAGTGTTAAAACACTTCAGGAAACGTTCGGATAATTACTGTTAATTTTACAAATGATTTTACTACGTTTTTTTCTTAAAAATGGAAATACTATTGTTAAAAAATTAGTTAAAAAGGGAAAAAAAAACTATGGCACCATAAATCTGACGGTTATACATGCTATTTATCATAATATTTTATCGTGTCAAGTTTTTGCTTCAGATAAATAGTAATTCACGAACACAGAATATCATAACCTAATTTGATATAAATTTTTACAACCGTGTGCCTAATGATACTTTTTTATGAAATGAAAAAAATAAAATAAAAGTTAATGAAGTAGTTTTTCGGAAAACTAATATTGACTCAAATAAATGCAACGACTTCCACTAAAAAGCGGCGATAAGTTGCCGATTTTTCACAATTCATGGTAAAATACTTGTCTCATTGGAAGTTACATAGCTGAGAAATTGATTTCAATTAGCTGCACAAGTTACCTATAAAATTTTGTGTACTGTGGAGTAGTACTCTCTCCTCTAAGTCTCAAATATTAATATTTATCGAAATACAAAATAAGTTTATTTCATTCATTTATAAGTCCAGGTATGTGCACTGTTTTCTATGCAGAGGACGATAAACGTAGAAGAGCAACTGAATACTCGTGGTTTCAATAAACCGGCTATTGGGTGAGATTTGGTTGGAAGTTGAGACGCATGTCCTGTTACGGCAAGATTGAATGTTCGCCAATCTGCGCAATTGTGCATTCGGCTCACTTTGCCAAGTGAGTCGGATCCATGCCACACAGCTTTGACGGGCCTGAGAAGATATGAAAAATTATTTGAAACCAAGCTTGGTAAAAATATCATAGTAAATGGAACAATAAAAAGTTTAAGTTTTACCATCTTGGATCTGTTATAACATCTCTTCCATTGAACGAATAAATTTTAGCGCCTTCTGGAAGCTGTCCTTCGGTTCGGAATAGCTCACTCCACGAAGAGAACAATACTTCTTCCTAAATACATAAATTTATTGCATTTTAATATGTTTCTAATTCAATGTACTAAAGCACATTAAATATTGCAATGACCCGCTATTGTCGTCAACTGTTTAAAACTTCTGGTCATTTCTACTGGCATTATTTTTAAAACAGATTCGAAGCTGGTGGGTTCTGAAATGAAAATTTTTCTAATAGAAATTAGTTTATACATACCGCCATGTTGACAATTGGTAAATGTTGCATGTTTCTGTTATGTACGATGGAGCGAACATGCTGATTTTTAGTTGACAGGAAAGCTCTGAAATGAAAAACCCCATGAATATGAATAATGTGGAAACAATTTTATTAATGTTCTATTTGTTTTGAATGTAAAATTTCGTAAGACGTTTCGGCTTAAGTAATTTTTATGCTGAAAAGTCTTCTTAAAAATTCTTGCATGTTCCCCCAGAAATTTTTACTTGAAATATTCCGAGTTTCATGTTAACTGCTACCTACTGACTGAGGCTTTCAACTTATCTTTTAACTTGTCGTTTGCAACTGTTTAGTATTAGTAATATTAGAGAGTTTGTGGCTCACAGATAAACAAAAACATGACGGATCACTTTGCTATAAGCGGGTTAGTAGTTTGCCACCCGAAATTCATAAGTCTATAAAGCCTTCGCATCCTATACCAAAACATTTATATTTCGTACCTGTATGTGCCCCTTAGACCTACTGCCCTGGCCTGTTTGTAGCACAAGTTGTCGGCACCGGCAATACCGTGTGTATTACCACGCAGAGGATAATTGAGAGCAACAAGATGAAGCCTGTTGGATGTAGGTGGTTTTCGTGTTGATAAAGTAGTGGCAATTGGTGCTTGAGTAGTTGTTGTTCTAGTAGTCGTGACTGGAGAAGTTGTACGTCGCGTGGTGGTATCACGTGTTGTACTTTGTGTGGTGCTTTCAACAGTTCCTCTGTCCTGTATTGTTTAATATAAAAAAATTTATGGGAATGTCCTAAGTTGAGAAGATTTTTTTTTTCGTACTGTAGTGTAGTCTATGCGAAAATGCCAGTAATGGAATATTGAAGTAACGAGACATAATACTGTAAAATCAATGAGTTTGAAAATCTAAGGAAACAAAAAAATTGGATGTGTTGGATATGAGTCTACAAATTCCGAGCCGCTAGTCGAGTCAAGTCTCACTCAGTTGAAGAGGAGTCATTTATAGTCTCTGATAAATGTGACTCGATTCGAGGAAATAACTGGAGACATCTCAACACTCTCCTCAGTAGTAATATTGTTACGAAAATTCTTCTCATTATTTTGAATATGGCGTCCAATAATGACGAAGACACATAAGCCAAGTACCAATTGACGATTAAAACAACATGATACATTTTCCAAATCTGTAGTAGAGAAATATAAATCTTACTATGAGAGGGTAGCCCATATTCACTGGACGCCATCCACTTGAAGTTCTGACATATAGAGTCTGTCGCGACGACTCAAAGGCCATATCACCGTCGGTAGACGACTATAGAAGAAGGATATGTGTATATATTGAGCCCAAAATAAACAAGAATGAAAGATAGTTAGACTTACATCATATGCATAAAGCAACTCGTTCTCTGATCTGTAAACTCTTGGTCCTGTGAACACATTTTGATAACTTGAATAATTTTGGTAAAATTACCAATAATAATGCAATAATCTTCGGTGGGTTATTGTATGCTCATATCTGACCGTAACGCTAACTCGACAAGGTGCCATGATATTCCGTAAAAGGTTCAAAGTGGTATCATAACATTTAAAAAATCTATTTTATTTATTATATTTGTACAGAAAATCAAAAAGCGTCTTTAGCAGCTTGCATTGCTTTTGATTTTATAAAGGATTCGTAGTTGAAGTCGGAGTCAAAATTCGGGAGTACTATCGGAAATGTCAAAATTGATGACAAAAAGTTTTACCTGATCCAACTCCATTCTGTCCATCTCTTCCTGGTGTACCAGGATAACCACGACCAGGAACTCCCTGTTCTCCTGCAGGTCCAGGCGGTCCCTAAAACAAGAAACGCGGTTTTAAAAGAAGGAGGCAGACAATGTTCCCTCTAATTTTTTTGTAGTATGTGTGCGCAGAAATTTTGGTGTGTGCGCACTTTTTTGGAAATGACTAATATTTGTGCAAAAACCAATGAAGAAATTTTGGCGTTCTAACCGGGTAATAAGTGGGCCAACAACAAACTTCCTCAACCTGCAAACCGAGCACATTGTTACATTACATTGAAATACGTCTGTGCGCAGTAAATCTATGCGTGTGCGCAGCCTCTGAAAGCGTACACGCGCACACCTTAGAGGGAACACTGGAGGCAGATACCACTCTTATTGCTCTCTTGTTTAATTTCATACGTAAATTTCAAATTTCGCAGATATAATTTAGAATTCAAATTTATAAGAGTATTTAGTTGTATTAAGATAGAGTATGTATACTGAGCATAGAAATACTATATTCAACCAAATGCCAATAAGCAGTACGTACTCTTGCACCGGGTCGTCCAGTCATTCCAGGAGGTCCTTGAGGCCCTTCTGGGCCAGGAACGCTCACACCACCGGCTAATGGACGTCCAGGACCCTGAAAAAAACACTTTACTTAAGTCTTTAAGAAAACAAATTTATATTTTTCTTGCATACTGAACACACGACTTTCTGTTCTTGATAATAATCTTACATCCTAATGAATATTATTTGTCTACTTAACTAGAAAAAAAAAACACACAGAGGTCAATCTACCACTCGAATAATTGATCACTACAATAATTTGTCTTTACAATATATTGAAGATAAATGCCCTTGCATTTTTGATAAATGTTGATTTGGGCTTAAATTACAAACTTAAAAAAATTCAGAATAAATTCATTATACATACCGGTGGACCTGGAGGACCCTAGATAAAGAAAAAGAAGGAATATTAATACTAGCGTTGGCACCCACTTTGCATATGATAACATTATCAAAATCAAAATTATAATCAGAATGTACGACTACATTTAAACCAATCGTATTACTTGGTAAGCATGGTTGAATTTTTTCTTGAAAACTAAGCTGTTTTATTATCAATTGAAAAGTAGAATACTCAACATACCGGTGGACCTGCGGCTCCAGGCTTTCCAACACTTCCTTCGCGACCCTGTGATGATAAATACGCAATTTCAATAAAATAAACTAAGAAAACAAAATGTTGAAAGAACTGTACTAGACGTTCTAAAAAGTCGTTGGCCAGACATCGTATAACATGTGATTGAATCACAGCAAAATTTTGGACAAAACATAGGGCATTTTGCACAAAACAACAACACTGAAAACAATATTTAGTGTACTGGCCTAACTATTCATATTTGTCTTTCGTGTGCAAAATGTAAGTTTGACTTATTTAAATAAATTATTTTTATTGAGCTGCTAAGTATTGCAGTTACTGTGTATTACAGGGTGTAACTCACCCTGTGTCCTGGCATTCCCATGTCTCCCTTTGGTCCAGCAAGACCCTGCAAACAAAAATAATTTTATTATATCATCTCCCTTCAAATAAAATAAAAATAAAATACATAAGAAATACATTTATGAAAACATACCGGAAGCCCTCTCGGTCCAGCTGGCCCTTCCTTAATTGTTACTCCAGATGGTGAAATTACTTCTACCTCACCAGGTTCTCCTTTTGCTCCCTGTAAAAATTTAGTTTTAAAAAATTACCAAAAATGAATTGCAATGTTCACGTTACTTGTACTGAAACTCGGGTTACATGATAAGGAGTATCTGGTTATAAATTTTGATAGAATTAATTGTACATGTTTTTTTAAATTTACCTTTTCTCCATGACCGTTATTGAGTTCTCCGTTGGGCATGAGCATTGCACCGGGTGGTCCAGGCGGCCCAGGCAAACCCTGAAAAAATTGTGATGTGAAGATTTAATGAACGGAATCTTTATGCTCGTTTACATTTAAAAAAGAGCATGCAATCAAGAAAATGTATTTTTAAATCTATGAATTTCTTACCGTCATTCCTTTAGGACCCTGAAATTATATAAAAAAAAAAGTTTGTTAATAAACCACATAAAAAAAAATCATTCGGAGCTAAAAGGCATTCGTGAAACTTCCAAACGAAAGAAATTACGGTAAAAAATAAAACGAGAGAATAACGTTTATCATAGGAGAGAACCGATTACATACTAGGGAAAATATGCCTAGTATACACATAGGGTCAAAATATCGCATCTTGTATGAGATGAATCAGTTTATACGAAAAGCAATGATTAATCTATTTGACTTACAGTCTCTCCATCAACTCCATCTCTGCCGTTTTGTCCAGGTGTACCAGGCATTCCAACAGCTCCAGTATCGCCCGTCATACCCTGTTACAATGCAAAGTAGACATAAACGTTATTTCTCATTCATAAAAATAGTGCAAAAGAATCAATGGGTTTTGAATTAATAGTATGTCAAATCAGTTCAATTAATTTTTTTTATATACCTTCTCTCCTGCGAGTCCTGCTGGTCCTTGGCGTCCCGGAAGTCCAGGTTCTCCTGCGTCTCCTTTCGGACCTGCCACACCAGGGGTGCCATCCCTTCCCTGCATTGGAATAAATATGACGAAATTAGCTTTTGAAGATTTACTTTCATACAAAACAATCAAGAATGAAAGGACTTACGTCAAGTCCGTCTTTACCGTGTTCTCCGTTTACACCAGAAACTCCAGGTGGTCCCTGGAATGCAAAATTGAAAAATAAACTGAAACAACTACCTATTAGAAGAAAAGAATGCGATAAAGGGCACATGGAGTTTGTATACAAATACGACACTCCTATCAACTGAAATCGAAGATTCCATGAATTACCAATTTAACTTTAATTTCTGTCATTACGTACCTGCTCGCCAGATGAACCCGGTAATCCAGCCAGTCCGGGCTCTCCAGGCGGTCCTTGGGGGCCAGGAAGTCCCACCTCCCCACCACAACCGGAATCTCCAGACCCTCCATCGACATCTTCATCATCTAAAATACATAATTTGATCAGTTTTGATAATAATTTGGATAGGACATGCTGAACGGAAAAAGTACAATCATTCCAGTAATAGTAATAAATGTAATGGTAATAAAAAACTTCAAGTGATCACAATTTTACTGTGAAGTGGCGATAAATATAATTGCAAATTTACCAGTTGGCATATCTCCTCTTCTTGAAATTGATCGTGCAGGGCAGACACCAGGGGGACCTGGGGGTCCTGCAATACCCTGATTACCGTCATTGCCGGGTTCTCCCTGGAAATAATTAAAAACGAATCAACAATCGTTTATTATAAACAAATTTTTAATATATTCTTATGCGCTAATATGATTTAATTTTCCAAACTGTGATAAGTAATTATTTATTTTAGTTCATTTACTTTGATGGTGCCCTTATTTCAACCCAGGCTGATTGTAATAAATATTTTGTATTGATTTCCCACGTTGAAGAAATAACGGTCAGTATTGTTTACTTCATTACAGAGCTACCAGTGTCAATAAATAACCAGTCATCTTACCTTTTGTCCGACTGGGCCAGGTGCTCCGGCGGTGCCATCTTCTCCCTGAATTAAGGTTAGAGAATAACAGTAACATACTATTTCATTACTGTAATGTGGACAATTGAATATAAATGCAATTACGCAATCTTCTACACAAGAAACTAGTGTTCACTTACAAATAGTACATCTCGTTCACCAGAAAGTGCACCTTTGCGTCTCATGCGCGGAAACGGATCGGGCATCGAAGCAAGACCTTTCCTTTCAAAAAGCTGAAAAGAGAGGAAGAGAAAAAAGAAAAAGAAGAGAAAGAGAGAATGATTGAATGTGATGTGAAAAAGGTGAGGAAAAGAAGCAGCTTGATCAGTCACATGACAGGTTTAAACGAATAAAACGATTTTATTGAGTGATTTTGACAGGCAGGTTGGCAGAAACCGAATCTAAAAATCTTGCAAAGCCGCCATTTTACTTTTAAAGCTGCCTTGTTTTATTTTTAAAAAAATGTGAAAGATGTGAAGTTGGTGTGGGAGGTGATGTTAGGTGAAATGCCAAGATAGTAAAGAAGTCTTACTGAATCAGAAATAGGTTCGTAACTGGGCAACGCCGCTCTGACGTCATCAAGATCCGATCCCCAGACGTGTCCGGGACCATGAAATTTAGGATTTAAAGCATGATGTTTTTGAAAACGTGCGATATCGTTTTGAAGATAGGCCTTTTGTAGGTCGTGTAGTACCGACGTCAAATTTGCTACAGAATCTAAGTATTTTTCAAAATTGAAGGTCGTGGTTTCTCGATCTGTGGAATCGATCAAATTATCGTTTCCAGGATATTCGATACCATTTCCGATCCCACGAATAAAATTGAGAAAAGAGTCAGGAGAGAACTTGAGAAAAAAGAGAGAATTTGTTAATTTAAAAAACAAAAGAGAAGGGGGATAGAACATTAAATAAATGGAAAAAGAATAGAATAGTGGAATGAAAACCAGTTGTCAGTCAGATCTTTATCTCATTTCTAATAGTAATTCTAACGCAAAATTATCATTATTCAAAAAAATAAATTATAAACTTCAAAAAAGAACAAAATTATAACCACTTACATCTTTTCCAGGTAGACCCTCTTTGCCTTGGGGCCCGGGTGGACCGGCTAGTCCTGGTTCTCCCTATAATATGGACAAAAATATATATTGTGTGTTGATTATACCATATATACACAACAAAACAATGCTTCATGGTAGTGATTCAAAGCAAATTTGATATTTTTGAAGTATTACTAGAAGAACAGGTAGACAATTATTCTCGTCCACTATCAACTAACAAATACTTTACTGCAAAGCAATTGGTCGAATATTTGAACAATAAGCCGTTTTCAAAACAGCGTAGAACTTAAATCAGTCTACACAATGACAGAAGAATTCTTACGTTTAATCCAGAAGCCCCAGTCGGTCCAATTGAGCCTACACCAGCTGGACCAGGAGGTCCCTGAGGGCCTGGTGGTCCTGGAATTCCTTTAATTGGTCCAAATCCAGAAATTTCCAAGTCGTCCAAATCGAACTGAAAATACAAGTCAAAAATGATTAATTTTAATTTTGAAAAATTGTCAAATAATACTAATATCTTAAACTTGGGCAAAAAATGTTTCGTAGTTGAAATATATCTAGGTAAATATTATGAATCCGGAGTAGTGAAATTCTATATCTTTCTTTCAATTTGAATGAGTGTATAAGTATACAAATCTGATTAATATCTTATATTCTAGTCATAATTGCTTGAAAAAAAAAAAACTCATTTTTAGTTCAAATCCATTTCTGTATTCATGGAGAAATTAGAAAAATATTTCACCTCTCCTGGAGGGCCTGGTAGACCCATTGGTCCCGGCAGTCCAATGCCGTCTTCGCCGTCCTCGCCCTGTAGTATGAACAGACACAAGCACAGTTAAATAAATGAAAATTGGTAACAATAAATTTAAAAATACCAATCACGACTTACCTCCTCACCGGGAATACCTTGTGGACCAGGTGGACCCATCAGACCTGGTTCTCCTGTCATACCTTTCTCGCCTTGTGGTCCCTGTGAAAATCGAAATATTTTAGGTCCTAACAAGAAAGAACCATTAAAATTTCAATGAAACACTAAGTGCAGGTATCTCCACATGATTATGCACTGGTTGATTCAATGGTAAATTATAAAATTAGCTTGTTTATATTATCAAGTAAATACAATTTGAGTTACATTGCCGTTATTCTTACCACGATAGATTCTCCAGCTTCTCCAGTCATTCCTTTTTCGCCTTGAGGTCCCGGTGGTCCGACAATTGATTCTCCTGGATCCCCTTTAGGTCCTACATCACCCTGAAACAGCAAAGGTTGTGTGACCATTATTAAATTTTCAAAAATGAGCCTGGAGTTCATTCTAGGCGGAATGCCTAACATGAATTAGATATATTACATACCCTTGGACCAGCTTCCCCTTCAGGTCCCATTAAGCCAATCTCTCCGTCTTCACCAGGAAGGCCATGGGCTCCATCAACGCCCGGTTCACCATCTTTTCCATCTATGCCAGGACGACCGTCTATTCCAGCTATGCCTTGTTCTCCACGTTCGCCTGTAGAGTAAAACCTATCAATTTAAAGTCGCGAACACCAGATTTTTCATCTCATAAAATGCAACCCAGTGGATTGAATTGTCAGATGTGCGACGACACCAGAGAACGCTATAGTCGCGTATCTCAGAGACCGCAATAAATGGGTTATTGGAGGTAATTAATCGATTAAATATGACGACCTATTTTTGGGTCCAACTAGGGTTTTTGTAGGAAACTAAAAAAAAGTAGGAATGTATATTTATTTACCTTTCATACCCATTAGAGATATTCCTCTCTCTCCTTTTTCTCCTGAATGAACAAATCAAATTTTTAGTCATCTCAGACTTTTACGACACCAAGGCAAACTATCAAAGCAAATTCGGCATTGAAATACGACCCTACAAGAAAATTTCCTTAAAATCTGGGCCGATGATTATGTATTATGTTAAGCGCTAAACACACGCGACAGCCAGCACAGACAAGGAAGACACACGTTTTGCGTTTAATAAAATCCAGACAATTTAAAATTCGAAATATGCCCGATAAGAAAATCTCATTCAAACCGAGCTTAGTAAATTTTATAACAAAATTTGTAAGCGATAATGATTCAAAACAAAAATTTAATATGTTTACCTTTGTGACCTTGAGGTCCTCTTACCAAAGTAACACTCTGTAAGATAACAAAAAAAAAATTTATATTTTTGTATTTCATCATAACATAAGACGAGTAATTCGATTCAACAATATTGAATAACGATAAAAACGAGAATATCGGTCAGAGACCGAAGACTTATCGGTCGAAATTTAGGGGATCCTCCAAAACAGCGCTCCTACTCCATAGTGACAACTTGTGTCCCGTCACTAATTAATTAATAACTCGCTAATTATACGACATAATTCATCCCAAATCAATAGGTTTCTGGTCCGACATATGATGAATGCACATGCGAAATCTGGAGCAGATTCAATCTCACTTTCGTGAGATATCGCGTGCATCTAACAGACAAATACCTATCAACATACTTACCGATTAAAATCGATAAGTAAAAAGGTGGGGTCTAGGGTGTCTTAAAAATAGAGTATCCCACATGCGCTATTTGTATGAATTTTATTTCAAGTTAAAACGCTGAAACCCGCTCAGAACATAGCATGAATCAAACTTCATATGCTCAATATGACCATTTGCCCCGTTTAAATCTACCATAAATAAGAACAATGGCAGAAGTAGGACGAGCGTACCAAGTTTGGGATGAGTGCGACATTTGTAACAAAGTGGGACACAACATTTTCCAGACACCGCTATCTGTTAAGTATTACAGTACAATTACAAAATGGTACAATTTTATATAATCATATTCGTAATCAGAAAGAATTCTAAGCGAGTAGTTTTTCTAGTTGTAGAACCAACCATGCTGGAATCGTATCAAAATATATATTATGGATATAGGTGGGATTTAGTAATAACAAAAGTATTTTTACAAACTTACATCATCAGGAGAAACCTCTTCTCCTTCCTCTTCCGTTGGCACCTATAAAATTTAAAATAAATTTTAGTTTATATTAAAATTTATTCCACTATTCCATTTGCTAGCGTAAAATACTATATGTTATATTTACAGTAGACTTAATCATTATTTCAGCTCATATATTATAAGTAGGGCTAAGAAATTAATGTACTTTTTAATCATTGATATGTAAACAAATTTCGCCAAATTTTCACTACTAACTTGCTTAAGGTTAAAGTAATTACCAGCTAATTTGAACTGTTAATTTATTAATCAACTCGGAGGCATTCCACTCAAATAAGGTCGGTAAAACACCTATCTTTCCTCAAATTTTGGACTCGCGTAAAGGAATAGTTAATTTATCTGTATATCATGATAATATGATGATAAAAGTTCCTAGCGTAATCAAAATATTCCATGCGTTTAACCTAAAATATGGCGAATCGCCGATATATAGCAATGTACTACTAATAAGTAATTTGCATGCCTTCATATGCCAAAACTTATTTGCATTTAATATAAAAGAAGCAAGTAACTAGCATGTTGATCGAATACTGCAGTTGCTTTTATGTAATGTGCTTGGAGAGACGAATCATATCTCGGTATACAGCAGGGCTGTCCCATGGGGCCTCCTTTATTTCTAATTTATAACGATACCGTTTAAAGCAGTTCAAAGCCGCAATGAGCATGTAAGTATAAATTTCGACAGTGCCGAATATCTGGAATATAACTAGTGAACAGCTTTAGTCGTAAACTCAAACTTGTATTTATAAGTGAAAAATTGTGCAGATGGAGTACTGACACATAATAATTTGGTAAGCATTCAGGAATAATTTAATAGCCACCTTTATCTCAGAAAAATGTATTCAAATTTTTAAGATGTTATTTGTGGGAACTTATAAAGATACACCATAGCCTGCGAGTTACTCATACTTCAAACTTATTTAGTTTTGCTTAGTGTTACACCCGTTTGCCTATCTATGAATCAGTAGGTTTTAAGAATTACAATTTATCACTTAGTGTTTTATATCTTCAAGTTAAAATATAAAATAGCATCTTTTGAGTAGGCTCAACAAATGGGCAAATTAGCAAGTATGTAACATCTATTGTTGTAAAATACATGGCCTGATAAGAATGGCAAACCCATGAATACTGTATATATATAGTAGAAGAAATTAGAAAGAGCCATGCAAAAGTGATGTTTCGGTCGTCAATAAAAAAATTTGTACGAATTTATCAGCAGCAGCCTTACAACCATTCATCCTTTTATATATTAGCATAACACCAATCATCAGCAGGCATTCAGCTCAAGCTATGTCATTCATTTGCATGCGGCAGCGCATCAATCAGTCACCTATGTAAGATAAATTAACTAGTAGATGTCATGTCTCCCTATATAAGTAGTTGATAGCATTGGTATTTTCTACAAGCGATACATCCAATACAAGCGCATAGCCTCAGTAATCACAAAGAATACATTTTTGTCGCCATATTGGTCATACAACATAAACGAAATTTCCAAAGCATTTAGCATTTACCAAAATTTTACACTTTGGACAACACTAATTATGCAAATACATGTTTTCGTTTTGTTGACCACCAGTAGGCGACTAAAATGACTTTGATTCTAATCGTTTGCCAAGCTGAGCGGTGCAGAAGCGCTTCCATACCACGAATTCTTCGTCTGTTCCAGATTCAAGTGCCTCCCAGGTCACTGGCAAAGATGTTGTTACTGGAAGTATTTCCGGTATAACAACTTCTGCTTCCGGTATTGGTTCACTAGCTTCAGTGGTGGTAGCCTTCGTGGTAGTGGTAGTACTGGTGGTTGTGATGGGAACTGGTTCGGTTGTGGTTGTGGTGGGTTCTGGTGTAGTTGTTGTCGTCGTAGTGGTGGTAGTCGTCGTAGGTTCGGGAGTGGTAGTTGTCGTGGTCGTAGCTGTCGTTGTGGTAGGTTCGGGAGTGGTAGTTGTCGTGGTCGTTGCTGTGGTTGTGGTAGGTTTGGGAGTGGTAGTTGTCGTAGCTGTGGTTGTAGTAGGTTTTGGAGTGGTGGTTGTTTCTGTAGTAGGTTCAATACTAGTTGTCGTCACCATATGATGCGTTGCAGAGCCTTCCAAAGTAGGAAGTTTGGTTTCTTTCGTTTCAACTTCCCCGGATCCTTCCTATTCACATTCATTAAGTAAAGTATTGAATTACAATAAGAACAAAAAACTATTACAGGTTGAATTTTGATGAATGTCAGGTCATTTATCAAAGGTAAAAAATTGAAAATTATATTGAAAAACTGTTTTCCTGACAAACTTATGTCACAAATTTAGGAAAAAAACGAGAGAGAACAACAAAGTTGTACAAATCCTTTTTTTTTTATTTAAGACTTTTACGAAGTGAATTCTCCACTAGTCACAGACTATGGTATAAAATATATTAATTTGCCTCTCTAATTGATGCAAAGTATACTAAAAAATACTATGTATTCAATAAATACAATTAGGAATAGGTTAGCAAGACACTGCAGTACACCACAACACAAAATACAAATAAACGTCTTCACAACGGTTATTCGTTACAAAATCACTGTAAAACACCAATGAATCACGACACACAATAAGTATAAACAATACAATGTTTGTGCTTCGCATACAAATATCATCATCTTAAGACGGTGTGTTTCTCAAATTTCTAGTAGGGAGAGTTAATATCGACGATACATTGGAACGAATCATGCAAGACTAATACATCCCCAGACAAATAAGCAACGTTTTATTTAATCTTTCTATAATCGACTGAAAACCTTTTATTATACTTTGAGGTCTATCATTTTAAGGAGGGAAATTATTTCAGTATTGCCATTTTTAGGAAAAAGTAGGTGTTAATCATGTCTGAGTGAACTTCAAAAATTAACATTTTTTGGCTCGACAGTCGACACAATTTACTATTTAAGTCTCAAACACACTTAGTGTTATAATTGAAATAAGTATTTGAAAATAAGTCATTGTGACGTCAATAAAGCTAGAAACATACACCTTTGAATATTATCAGGTATTCTCTAACTAAGATATTCATTACTAATGAGTTATTGAAGATCTGACCCACCTCGATTTGTTGATGGAACTTATATCATATTTAACCATGGTTGATCGAGGTTACCCTACCTACGTTCTATACACAATCACCTATTTGAAATGATTGCAAAATCTGTATTTAATTAGTAATGTTTGTGTGTAATAATGTTAGTAGAAAGAAAGTGTAAAATCATAAGAAACAAAAATGGTTAGTTTGACAAATCTGCGACACGGAACATGCTTTGTGATGATTTTCGACCTATATTTGATCAGGGCATTCAAAGAAAATGGAACTAGCACAAGATATAAATTCGCCGTTCAGTAAACTAAGCAAAAATTGATTTTGAAAGAGGAATATTTTGTAGCGATTTTTTTGTGTAAAAATACATTTATGATAATTTGTTCAACAAAAATTTTACCAAAAGTGCGATCCTATAAATGCACGATTTCCATAAAAATCAATCGAATCACATAAAGAAACATCAAGGTATTTAGCTGTTGTATATCGGAAATTGCCATCCTTACGATGACATTCACCTACCTGGCTATGCGTAAGGATCACACAATACCTGTCTAATTATACCTAATTCCGGTTCATTTTTAACTGTTATATATATATATGTTATATATAAATGTACTAAACATGCCACACAAAAGTAAAAAAATAAAATTCTCTCACACAAAACAGATCATGCAAAATAAAGGGACAAAACTGTATGTGAAACACTCGATCACCAAACTCAATACAAGTGTGCAGATTGAACAAACGAGAGAAGTCCTTTTGTGGGAAAACCATTTGCGCGACATCATATTTGCTGTTCGCACAAATGTGTCCCCCATAAATGGTACGACCCGGTCGAACAGAATGTGTGTCATGTGAATTCACGCGATTCGCTGAAACCAAATACGGTTTACAGCAATAATACCTCAAAACCAGCGGCAGTAGATGTAATAGCAGTGGTGGTAGGGTCTGGTGTGAACGTCTCTGATGCGTTAGCCGCGGGTGAAGCCGCTGTAACAATTACCTCGGAGGCAGTTGTGGCGTTAATATGCACACGTGTGGTATACACCGGTAAAAAGTCTTCTGTGTCCTCAAGGTCTTTCTAATGGATTAATGAAAGCATGATAGTGGCGGATTCGCGCACATAAAAAGCAGTAGGACTTTGCTTGTGAATTGTGTAATAAAGGCAACGTAATTTAGGCTGGGTGGCTTTCATTGGGCTCACTAATATATAAGTTTACACAACAAGCCAATCGGAGAATTTAATTTGTTTGCCTTACACCTATTAAAGGCGTGATAATGAGAGCAAATGAGTCAGACAAACAATCATTGTTCAATTCTCTCAATTTTCTTTTTTCTCTAATTAATTTTCTCTCTCCATGATTTTCCTCAGGATACCAGGGAAATTAAAATGCATTACAGAGAGGGGAATGGAAAACAAGACTACTTAGGCATCATACGGATCGAAGGTGTGACGAATGATGCCACACAGATACGTTCAGCAGTTAGCACATATAACACATTAAGCGGTCAGCTACCACACTTTCACACACAATGCTTTTCAAGCTGAAGAATAATTTGGTCTGTAATTCACAAATAAATTTCTCATGGCCGCAATTATGGTAATATTCCATGAATAATGTTAGTTACTTTAAAAAACAAGTGATTAAGCGTCATTATGGACAGACACATCAATACACACACATTTAAAAACAGAATTAGAATAATTATAGTGACAATACCAAATTTACAATTTCAATTCGAATACACAACAAAAAGTATCCAACCATTTTATCTCTTAACACTCAATGATGAAATTATTGTAAAATCTTTTATTTTCGTAAAAACTAACTTTAGGAGTATTTGATGCTAAGCTTCTAATTTTTTTGTCAATTAATCCAGAAAAATCTCTATCGCATAAAAAACACACTGAACGTACCATACTATCTTCGTCATCGGAACCATCAGGTACTCGTTCACTACTTTTCTCTGTATCGCCATCAGAATCGTCTCCACTTCCGCTTCCTTCGTCATCATCAGGGTCTACTGTAACCGGTGACCCAAAGAAATTTCTCAAACCGCTGATCAATCGTGAAGTAGACCTCAGCGTTATTCCCTCAACCGTTCCCTATAGATAAGAAAGATTAAATTATATTTGGATGACGTCATCAATCTACGTCATAATAAAACCGATATGTATAAGAACTAACGCTTTTACCTCAAACTGACCACTCTCTGGGCCACTGCTTGCCAAGAAAACAAATGCATCGTCTGGTATATCAGGTATTTTTAGATCATTCTCACCAAGACGCAAGGTACTGGACTTGGATATATCGTCTATGTACAAAACAGCCTCCTCGTCTGTAATGGTCAGCGCAAATTTTGTCCATTTTCCTTCAGGTATACGCTGCAAAGAACAAATGTGAATTGTGATAGTAAACTAACTAAAGAATAGAGAGGTTCCCTGCGACTTCCCTTGCCCAGTAAAACTGTACTTTTCATTTTTTTTCGTATGTTCTGTGTTCATTTTTTTTAACAACTGGTTGGAAAAAATGTACTTGACTTGACTTTCCATCAGTTTATTCTATTGAAACATTCAGTAGCATAGGTTTATATCAACCCACATACATAGTGAAATATATTTTGAGATACTCACATTAAACGTGGAACTGTGTGGTTGATCGCTATGATCAACCATATGAAGGTAAACATAATCAGACATTTGCAATCCGAAAAGTACTTTGGTCTGAAACGTTAAAAATAAACATTATAAGAAGGTGCATTATACCGGGTTACTGCAAGAGTACTTGCTTCTATGTTTTTGCACTGGCGGAACCGTATGCATTTAATGCAAGGATGATGTAGCAAGACTGAAGATAACTGTTCTGAGCAAGTCAAGTTGCTGCTGCTTATCCTTTTTCTATTTTTTGCGCCCTTGGATCCGTGTGCATATTTATTTCTTTACACCCAGAGTGTATTACATAGGATAGGCAAAACCAAACCAAGAAGATTACGAATCTTCCTATCTATAATAGCTACTTACTAAGTATTGATGGGAAATGCAGTGTCTTGTTCGGAGCCCCAAGCGTATAAGTACGTAGTATGAAATAACTGCGGCACCATATTGGACTAAATTAATCCATCAAATTAATTTTACTCAAAGTAGCAGAAGGGTTACAATCTGGCAGTCTCAGTATCAGATGATGAGCTCTCCTTTTTTGCGGTTATGTCTGCGAAGTTGCACTGAGCATATGTTCAGTAAAATATTTGACATAACTGCTATGTACCTGGGTGGGATCTGTTATCGAAAACAAAAATCCATCAGCGCCTGCTTTAAGTTTAATAGTTCCTTCGATCAATAAAAATTTCTCGAAAAATCCATCGTCGAATACCCGGTTGGATGCTTTTCCTAAATAAATATCAAAATATGAAGAGCTTTATTTAGAAATAAAATTGAAGGATGTGCGTTGTTTTTGTCTGATTTCACGAGGGTAACCATCAGCAACGTTTCGAGCAAAAACCGCACCCGAAATTCTGCTTATTATTAAATAAAAGGAAATTTTTTTTCTGAATATTGCTCGACCGCCACCAGATAGATTGCTTGTCAGCCTATGCTTTCAGCAAATTCGGAGCTCTCACTCCTTACCGTAATAATACACATATTTGAGCATTGCTCTCTTGTTACTATTTTGTTTTCTGCATCCAGATGTGACAGCGACTTGTTTTTAATTACTAGACATACGGGCGGATTGATGGCACAAGAATATCAAATGCAATTGTGCTGAAAATATTGAAAATCACACGAAGGAAACAACAATGTCTTAGGTACTTCAAGGAGCGGTAATCGCATCTTAACTTGTTATGTCTGGGTTAAGTACACCTTTGTATTGTTTTCTGTTTGTTTGCCAAAAACAATTGATATTTTTAATTTTTCAAAACAGAATATAACATATTATGCCATTAAAAATAACTATATACCACATCTCCTCTGTATTTAACGCCAGAGCAAATGACCCCAAAAGCATGAAATTCAAGTTTTTGTGAAATTCGTGCAATCAAAACAGGGCGGAATCTTCAAAGGGAATAGGCAATTTGCTCTCAAGTACATACCCGACTACGTAATGTCACCGTTTCTATCGCCCTGGCAAAAGTAAAAGTACTGACACGTAGTAATATAAGTTTTCCGTGCCTGATCATTGCTTAATCCAAAAATAGCAACTAGGTAGGCTACTTAAACTTGAGAGGAAAAACGGCACTTATGTCTACTTTGACTGTAACCCATTTCTCCCGAGATAATCGCTAGATTACAAATAGCGCATCTCCGGGATTGTTATATTGTAACTAAACGCCGTGTTTATAGATAATTTATGCAGGTTTTGGCTCAGAAACTTGACATTATTGGACGCGTCATAACAATATTATGCATTACGTAGTCGCAAATTTGAGAAGGGTTTGAATGTAGTCATAAATGATTTTGCCTTTGTTTGGCAAATGGGAGAGGGAAACATTTGATGCTTATTCCACGAGTTTTTGATGAGAACAGAGAAAAACGCTCTAGGCTGCTGGAAACATACATCGCTGTTTTATTGTTTTTAATTTTCATGGATTCAAATTTATTTTAAGACGAAATTAAAATTCACAAAATGTAAGATAAAATATAATATCAGTGAAAACTGGTTTTCGGCATAAAAAGTCGGTCTTGAATTTTTATATTCTTTATGATGGTTATTTATAAATATTCACGGCATTCGGACGAAACGCCATTGAACAGAGCAAACGAACAAGTTTTTACGTAATTTGAACTTTCTTCTGCTGTTATGTATTTTTTTATTACATTTCTTTTAGTGTGGAATAATGTTTGTCGGGCTCACTCATCATTGTGAGGAGCTATTTCAATACAGCGTTTAAAAAAAAGAACAGCCAAATCAAAAATGTTTGAATTTTGACGCCAAAATAATCCTAAACAAATAAATAAATAATCAAAGATACACCCTCCACTGCGAAAAATATAGTTTTTTTTTTAATTTTTGGCGATAATAGGTTGGCTTCGACTTAGAAAAGACTTGACCCCTGGGAGCCTTCACACCTTTTCAGTTGCCAAAAACTATAATTGGCTTTTTCATAGTCGTTTGAGCATGTTTATATTCGGCCACTAATAGAGCTAATTTATCTATTCTATCGCCAAATTGGCGTCCGATGAAACTACGGCAAAGTTAAGATGCCCGATGAAATTTCATAAAATTTTAAATTCAACTAAAGATGGCCCCGCCCCTTATTACCCACCCGTATTTAGTAGTAATAGGTAAAAGGAGCCACTCGAAAATTCAATAAAACACTACATATTTTAATGAAGTATACACCCGCAAGCAACCACGACCGCAGCACTATGATTTAATTATCACTTGGCGAGGATATAGGACTTATTTATGGGAGATAGCAATTTGCAAAATCATGCAAGCCCCTTTGGGACCTCTACTCGGAAATTAGGAAAACAGATAACTGGGACTGACGTACCTTGATAGAAGATAGAATCTAATTGGGAGTAGCAATCTTGTATAAGTTTCATAACATTTTCACATCAAAAGGTTGTACCTGTAGATTTTCCTTTGGATATTTCATAGGCTGGGGCGTCCGCTTTGCCACGTACGAAGTTGATATTTTCCGGTAAAGGAACGCCGATCATGGCGTCAAATAGATTAACACTGGCATCTGTAGGCAATCTTTCAACTGAAATAAAAGAAAAATTGAATAGAGCGAAATAAGTATATTAGGCCATTCGTTACATTACAATGTATACTTTAGTATATGGTTTACGAGGCAAGTTGCGCTGGCTCCGTTTAGTTGTGACAGTAATCTAATAAATAGACTCCGTCCAACCTTTCAATACAAACTATGCCAAGCATTATGAGATCGGACATTTTTCGTCAACCAACAAAATTCAGTTTCTAGAATTGACAAAAAAACAATCAAAAATCATCAACCCCATTTTTAATAAGCTTTTTAAAAAAAAACATTTCTTCAACTGAACTGTTAGAATTATGAAAAACTTAAAAAAATCAAGGGTCACAAGCCACGACATTTTAATTCCGGATATCTGTACCGGAAGCAACTCAATGCCGAAATGCCATCTCCCCTAGCCAAATAAGTTGCAATAATGAAGCGGATAAATTACACCGTTGATATCCCGTAATCCAAAATTTGTCAGAAACGTGAAAAATACCCCAGATAGTGAAAGAAGCGATTGTTGTAACTTCTCTTACTCTACGCTTTGTATATCGCGATGTCTTTGAAAATTATTACAAATATTTTAGCAAAAGCCTGCACCAAGGCGGACGTGAAGGAATTTCGTTGTCACGGGCGACCGCCAAAATGTCTCGGGGGAACAATTTTGTTGCGAAAACCTTTATTAAAGTTAAACCCTATCTGGCTATTAGCACCCCAAACCTGCGAGTCAGTACACCGCATAATGGTAGCCTGTACTCACTGGATTAGCTAGATATGATTCAGGTAACCCGAGTAAAATCGTCTAGCATTTGGCAATAAATCCAAGAAAGCCATCCTGTCAATACTATTTCACATAATTGACTTAAGCCATTTTGTAAAGCGATTATAACCAACCAATTTTAAACTCAATTACTGCTTTACGCAGGTAGGTTTGCTGTAATTTTTGCATTACATGCCATAATCGTCAATTCTTTGTACAGGAATAAGCGAAGCGTTACGATTGAGGTAGACCTAAACCGCGATAAATGGAACGTTTTTTTAATCTATCCACAAAAAGCAATTTTCAATCTTTCTCGTTGATGTGCCAAAATTTAGGCAAACATTGTACAAAATTAGCTCAAAACGTCTAATATAAATAATTTCAAATCAAAACAATAGCAAAGTTTATAGAATATTGGTGTCACAATACATGCCAAATTCATTCATCAACATACCATATATATATTAACTAGGACAGCCATAATATAATAATGAGTATTTGTGATGGTGTTTGTTTCATCTTTTCTATTTTATTTTTACGGTTGCTAAATATCTATCTTGCTATACCAATCGTTACTTTTTGGAAAGGATATTTCTATATGTTTCAGTATCTCATGGAAATACCATAAAATAATAGTTCATATAACAGTATTTTTGTTAGTAATAAGTTGAAATGGTGTGATTGAACCGACAATGGAACTAATCTTGTGATATCAAAAATGCTTGTCTGCATTCCGTTCGAGCAGTGAAATATGGATTTGATAGCTTATATGAGAGGGATTCTGAATGTTCTATTCTAATTTCACGCCTTATTAAACCAAAAATCCGAAAATATGAAAGATTTATCGGAATGTTACAAATGTTTGTTTTGGTTGGGTATAAAAGATATGAGTGGTATTTCTAATCTTCTACATAAAAATATACAGGCCAACGATAGCATTTTTCCTCTTTCTGTTTTCTCATGCAGTGAAAATGCAGCACACATATAGTTGGTTTATACCAAGAAATGGTTTGGCCGCATGGGGACACTAAGCTTCTTATAACTATATCGCTGATATCTCTCACTCCACGTATATCGATCTTATCCTTCAAAAATGCTATGAATGGGAGTTTTGTGCTTTCTTATAAAAAATTACCATATCAGTCGGTAGTATTACAAATATTTTAAGGTTACGTATCATGATGTTCATGATATTACAGAAAGAAAAAAAAGTAAATAAAATAAACCGAAGAATTATCTTGTAATATATAAAAATACAAACTCAGCACTCTTCGATAATCATGAAAGCATGGCTAGATTTTGCAAACTTTTACTTTAATACCTGGCTTGCAATCAAAAACTGTCACAGATTCTAAACGCTTCGACTCGACAAATATGTATCGTGCATCCCTCTCTGCACAAAAACTTGGTGTCTCCGTTGACATGCATTTTTCCATGATTGCGAGTGCACGGCATCTTTGAAAAGCGTCGAATTCAACACCCCGAATTGAGGAAACTTGTCGCTTGTATTCAAACAGACAATGTTCAATATCACACTCAACGAAGGTATGAGCAGAAGGCGCAGCTATGGGTGTGCTTGTTGAGCGGTCCACGTCGAGTACCTCTGTGGCAGCTGTGGGGTCTGTGGGATTCGTGAGGTTCAGAGGTCAAGAAGCAATTTTGAAGAAAAAGTGAAGGGATTGGTGACAGCCAAGCAAGAAAATAGTCGCGTGATATTAAAATAGCAGTGATAAACCCCGCCAGCAAATGCATTTTAGCAATGATAAAGTGATTAATCGATTTTACGATAAAGCAGTGTTCATATGAAATGGCCAATAAAGCAAATGCAGGTATAATAAGAACGGTAGCATTGAAGCATATTAATGATCAGAGAATAACACCGCGTGTCTCATTCGACACCACCAAAATATCCCGGATTGAATGAAACGATATTGTTACAGAATACAGTTTCATAAAAATAGGAGAAGAGTTATTTTTTGTTGTTTATCCATATATACATACACGTTTACGCAATATGCGTAATTTTATCACCAATTTGCCATAATTTGATACAATAATTGTGTATTCCACGTAGCCATATGCGTACAAAGTTTCATGGGTAAAATAAATTGCAAGCCAACAAACCACCCATTAGAATCACCATGCCGAAGAAATCGAAGTAAGCGTGTCATTATTACCAATATCAGAATTTGGTACGAGATATTGGTCCCAGCGTGAAATCAGGAGTAAAATATTTATCAATTTAATAATAATAATAATATTGCATTGCAATATTATGGTTTATGGCAAAGGAATGCGTTAGTTATCACATCGAGATAGCGAGAGAAAAAGAGAGAGCGAACGTGAGAAAAAAGAGAAAGATAAATAGAGAGAAGGACGCGTTTAGTAGGAAAAAGTGGGAGAGAAAGAGGAAAAGTGAGAGAAATTGGGATACAAGGATCGATACAATTTCGGGGAATCAATCGAATCAAAATAGGGTGTAGGGTATGGTAGGGTAAATGTGAGGAGTGGAGAAAAAGAAAAATAAATGAAATAAATTTAGTAAGATTTATTTCATTATAATTAACATTCCAAAATATATTGTGTAAAATCAATCTTTCTTTTAACTTAATTTATTATCAAACAAAACTTAAAAACGAAAACAACAATTTGAACAAAATATTGATACGATTTACGTTTATTTGTGTGTTAGTTAGTAGTATAATTCGAGTGGAGTGAGAGAACAACAATCAAAAGTGAGAGTGTTAGAGATCACAGAACACAAACAAAATACATGTACCCCAGTATCATAAAACGGGACCAAACCGAGAATGGCCATAGACAACACGCTGTTCGGAAAGAAAAAAAAAGAACGAAAAACCGAATCTTTGTTAACACATTAATTCAACAAATGGTTAGAAATCGATATTCTCACACTACACACATTTTAACTTTTTCACATAATTTTATGTTTGTTTGTATTAATAATCGCCATTTTACAAATAATGTCCCCATAACGTGGGGTATTTTCGTTTTTTCAAAGGAAACCCTTTTTGAAGCGATATTGAGATAGATTAGGCAAAGCATGTACAATTGAGTGGCGCAAGTTTAAGAGTTAGTTAATTAATGTCGGTAACAACGGGTCGCAGGTGTTCCAACATACATAGAGATGAAAATCTTAAAATCGTTTCATTTTTAACGATGTACGGAGAAAAGTTCGACATGCATTACACGCTTGTCGAGCTTAGCGCAGAAACCCCTCCCAAAATGATATTATTTTCTTCCGCGTAGTAATTCTGGAATTTATTTCAAATTTAGTAATTGAATATAACACGAAACAGGGGGAGTAAGATGCATCACGAAAATTTTCAATAATCAGATGTATTAAACATTAACTATTTGAATTTGATAACTTCGGTTGCTAAAAATTTACATTTTTTTAAACAGTTTTGCCCTCGCGTTGAGGATTAAAAATGGACGTTGTCAAATCCAAGGGATTCACATTCCAAAGGGGAAATTGACCCTATGCTACTTGATCCGTTACCCAAAGTTGTACATTTAACCAGATTTTTATTACAATTTTAAAGCTGCAAGCCGTTTCAAGTTCCGCCAGGATGAAAGATCTATAGATAGACTGTAAACGCTTGAAAGAACAAGAACGTCTAATCTACCGGTATTTGGCATAAATCTCGACAAAAAAGGATGTCGGAAAATGGAGCAGAGTTTCAAGTTGAAATTTCACAGCAAACCACGCTTGATCCCATATGATTTGTTGGATTCCTAAATTGGGCGAAAAAGATAAGAGCCCAACAGGCAATAACGTGGTTTGGGATAGAAGTAACGAAAAACATAAGTGCAAGTGCAATGATATATGATGCAAGTGAGCCATGCATAGCAAGCAATAATTAGAAAAGGCAATGATTCCATGAAAGCTGCTCAGTGCTCCGCACAATGTGATGAAAACAATTACAATACACAATTGTGAATGAAGGGAACAATTACTACATACAATCTGCAACACGTCACGCGTTGTAAAACTATAACTTTACGAGCTACGACACAATATACTGCTACAATTCCAGCTCTTAAATTAACGTTGTAGCCTCGGCGCTGCAATGGTGCATCAGACCCTAGCCAAAATTAAGCAATTCACCTACATTCCATGTTTAATCTTGCTTGTTTTAAACGCCTACTACGTTTAAAACTAAAGGTAAAACAAATATACAAGATAAACACGCTTACAATTAAGATACTAGTGTATTTATCAGAGAAGGGAAATACAACTTGATGCATAAAATCATGGCAGTCTTTGTAATCATATTAAAAATTCATAGCAATTTACTTCACTCTCTTATGTTTTCCAATCATAAATCTCCTTTATGGCAGCGGATACGAGAATATGAATCAGGCTGCCATTTTCGAATATATATATTATGGGTTAGATTAATCAAAATTTTTTCTAATCATTCCATATTTCAACAACCTAGTAGTTACCGATCATTTGTTTATTTTCCATAATACCCCAACTATTCATTAAAATATATCATCACTTTATAGAACTCAGTATTATTAGTACACATAATGCCACAACATGACTGCCGCACCCATTCCTTAAATAACGAAGGGCGGAACCTAACGAAAGATTGACAGATGGATTGTGACGTCACATAGTTTGAGTTTAACTAAGGTAAATATAAGTGACGCGTGATTGAGAAAACGACGTTCGCTATAATACACGACCGTCCGTGTTCGGTGGTAAACGTTTTGTTTTTTATTTATGAAACCATGTCTGGTTAAGGCTTTTGTGGTTTGTATGGAATTTATACTCTGTATGGAAAACTACTCAGTGAGAATGTCACGTATAGTAAATGAATACGATTCATATCAGCGAGTCCACTAAATGCTACATATGCAAAGTTATGTGCTGATTTATGTACATTGTACAGCATGAGTAAATGGGTTAGGATCTGGCAACCCCACTCTTGCTAGCGCATATAGATGGCAGATTCTCGAATAATGCGTACAGCTAAAAGTATTTGACGTAACTTCAGTTACATAAAGTGACGCACAAATCGATGTGCGACGGTTGGATAAACTTAAGAGCAATGGATCGTCTCTAATTCAATAATTTTGAATGAAAATACCATTATCCCCACAAGTTTAAGTGATAGTCTAGAAATGTGATCATAGTATAGTACTTTGCATTTTAACAATAAAATGCCGGTAAATGAACCCGAAAGTGACATTCGATTAGCGATATAGTACAGTCTTAAATTGAATTGGCGCATTTCAGCTTAACAAGGACGTTTATGACACTAGAATAAGAAACGAATTGCAATTAGCTATTCAAAAGAAAGTCCGAACTTCTCTCTTGGTTTCAAATATATCGAAGTTGTTCATCGCGCTAGCACAGTTATAAAAATAAATATAAGAAATAATCGGATAAAATTTATTGCGAAATACCGAATATGCGAGTAAGGCTCGCGTGTCTCTTCAAGCTAGTTTATTTATTGATATTCTCGCTGACATAACCTTTAACCTTACGTGGGAAGACACTTATTTAGATTTCACGGCTAAGCCCATGCTCACGCCATTTTACTGCCAATTTGAAAATTTTCCCATCACAGCGTTATTTTGTTTTACTTCGTCAAGCTTGGAGTATAAATAACCCACGCTTAAATGAGTGCATTATCTATGATACATGCACCGACGAGGGATCTAATAAAATACTATATCCATCTTAATAAATCTAAACTTCTTGGAAAACGCGATAAGTATCGCTCATTCGACCTTCTCATATTCGTATCAAACTAAAAGCAAACCAAACGCACGAAATCACGGCCTGGGTTAAGCTAAGCTTACCGCTTTAGCGTTAAATGGGTAAATAAACAGTTATAAACGGAGATGGGTGGCAATATAATGCGATCTTTATTCTTCTTACAATTATGAAAAACGGCTCAAAACGACAATAGTACGATGTATCCTTGTAAATTAATTTTTCAACATGAACGCAATTTCTAAATTAGTAGTTTGAAACCAATAACGTAAAAGAAATCAGAAAAATCGTAATAAAAATCAGTTTCTTCCGCCAGATCAACTAAAAGAAAAATGGCACGCTAAATCAGGATATGTTGCACTTGCACAAATATTAAAATACCTATCGTCTGCTTATTATGTACAACTTAGTTCAGATTAAGTATAGCTTGGCCATTTAACACCTCATTACTTGTATTCATCAATATTCAGATTGGGATACAGGCATGGTAACCATTATCCAAATACCAAAGCAATTTAAGTCTTTTCTTTAAAGAATAAAATCATCGGGAGGGGAGTCAAAAATTGCGATCTGGTAAAACTTACAATTTGTCGCAGAAGACGACGAATTTTGTTGATAATTTGGCGATCAAAATCTTCATTTTTGAATTTTTTTAATACTAAAATTACACATGGGCACTCCTTTATAGAATACGATTTACGAAAATTAATTCAAATAACATTACAATCTCAGAGGAACAATAGACGCATGACTAATTTAATCGCAAAATTGATTTGCTATTTTCGGGACACTACAGCTTACTTATTGTTAGAAACCCGATAATACGTCTGTGATTTTTTTTCTGTATCATTATTATTAGTAATTTT